CAAAGCTTCTACCCTTTTCAAGGTCGGAATTCTCTTGAGATATTTATCTTGAGAATAAGGATAACGGGGTTTACTGCTTTCCGTATTTTTGTCTTTATTTCATTTCTTTTTTGCTTAATCTCACAAAAGAGGGTGTGGTGGGTAGTACGTAATACTTAGATTTCAATGTATTGAATTTTCGAAAAATTCGATTTGATGGTACTTGTTGCTGCCATTTAATTATTCCTTATGTTATTATTTATTACTTACATCACCCTTTCAGATCATCAGCACTATGAAAAGGATGAGTTGTGTCTGTTGATGCACAAATCCGCAGCTTTTGAGTCAAATTGTTCTTAAACGAACAATCTCTAGAAATTTTGTTAGATATAATAGAGATTATGGAAGTAAAATTGTTGTCTCCTTGCTGGAAAGCAAGGTATAAAGTGCTAGGCGTGCATTAGCGAATTTGGCGGAGTTTAAGTTGATGTAGCGAAAAAAAAACTAAAGGCACGATTGCTTTTGTAATCTTTTGCTGACTGTAACTCACTTTTCTTTTCTTATCATCTTGTTCAGCTCAAATATATCTCGTTTCTTCTCATTTTATATTCTAAAACATTTACATTCTTCTTTCTGTCTATCCTTCCATATTCTCGGAGTTATTTTTTTTATTATTTCTCTAATTACAGAAAAACATGCAAAAGGGTATCATAGCCCTGATGGGGCTTGTCATATTTGGCATGGCTGTTATAGGAACCATAACATGTATGTTTTTTCCACAAAATCAGATTTTTAAATCAAAATGGCTTTCGATGAAATAGAATTTTTCAGCAAGTTTCGTAGAAATAGACAGGGATCCCATGAGTGAAATTACCATTGATAAAGAGCCAAGCGATTCTCTAAGACTCATAGTTGTTGGAGATACTGGAGGTAAACTGATCATAACACTTCTCTTATGTATGCGCTTGAGATAGTTGTTTAAGGGTTACCTGTATACCCATATTACTCATATGCACAAAAGAAAGTCGCAAAAGCCATGGAAGTTTTGGCAGAGCGAAAACGCCTTCAGTACGTTATCAGCGTTGGAGACAACATCTACTTTACCGGAGTAAAGAACGAACACGATCCACGATTTCTTGTAAGTATTTTAAGGGTTGCGTAATAGAAGTAGTTCTTTTGAAACGTTCCTTCTCTGCACTAAATAAATATATCATTAATTGCTTAAACGAACTAAATAATCAGCTATCTTATAGCTTTTATTTCACAGGCCTGCTACTACCAATTATCCTCTTCAAACGTCTTTCCCGGGTTTAATTCCCATCAGAAACAAGAATTTTCTGAAAAGGAAGATAGAAAAAAAACCTCTAGCTCTTCCTTCTT